CTGGAAAATTTAAGGAGTTATTATTATGTACGTTTAGATGATACAACCGGTAGGATACTTTTGCACGTTACTGTATCGAGTTGTGAGTTTTATATCAGATATTATTTAGTAACAAATTCCGTTCCAGAGAAAAAGCCTTTTTATTGACGGTCCGTTATGTATATGCTTTGAAATCATTATACTAATACGAACGTGCCGATATCTATTTAAAATCTATGATAAAGGTGTACGTGTGTCGCGTCCACCAATAATTGATAAGCCCAACGACAATTACCAGCCAATAATTATTGCCGACCAATAAGAGAGCATAAGTTGTATTAATATTAAGACGTCCGCTTGTATTATCATAATTGTTTCCGAAAAGGAGAACATTAGTGTAACGTATCAATTGACGTGCAAGACTTTGATAATTATCCGAACGAGTTGAAATTGCTCTATTCATCAAGATTATATGTAGCTATCCATAATTGTTCCTGCTACCAAAAGTATTACCTACTCAATTAACGCAATATTCCTTAAACAAGAGTTACATTATCTATAATTTTGAGCACGAGAACTAGCATATTTACCACAAGGTATTAATCTATGGGGCAACTCACTGAATGGACGGCGAAAAGTACCCCTCACGACTATTATGACCCTCCTGATTAATGTATTAAACATGTTTGTTACAATACAAACCTGTAAAATTGCATCTATGATTCTTTACACTATCCCCTCCGCATACATTTTCATTATGACAATCTATTCATATGACAACTTGCTCGGCTCGATGTTAGTGTACCTGTTTGTCTTTGGTACTGTGGTTCTATAAATAGACGTCTTTTGATTGAGCGTCTTGATATTAATTAAATAAATTAATGATATTGTAATAAAGGATTCCCCACAATTTGATGTAATCAACCATGTAAACTATAAGATTAGTGGCATTTTTATTTTAGCTCAAATGTTTTAACAAATTTCATGACGCCAATCAGTTTTCGTTTGTTCTTTTCTTGTTCTTCTGCTATATCTTTATCTCGAATGTTGATCACGTTGTACTAATATTTTTCTTTACCAATAGCTTTGACGTTGATACTTCAAGAAAGTTACTATAAAAATAAAAGAGCCACCTTCAACGAGAGTTGAATCGGATGAATACAAGCTTCACTGAATTTGCTGACGATAGTTCAAGCTGTTCATATGATCCAATGCAACACAAATTGTCTTCATGAACAAGTTGATATTACAGGGTGTAATACGTATGCGTATAATAAATTATTATTTCATAAAGTCTGTTGTCAAATATGATCAATGGTGAATAAAATGAATACAAACTGACATGTTAATACTGAATATGAATACAATGGTGTTTCTATTCTTAACCATGATTATGTAAAAAAAACTTCCTAATGGAATGATAATTGAGACTCTCCTCTCGATTATTGTTCTGTCCTGATCTGTTGTCGTAATATTCCTCTTTCTGAATCCGTGGCACAGGTTGAGCTATGTACCATACGCTATATGTGATAGAGCGATTCATACAATCAAATTAAATCCAATTATAAACGAAAATAAAACAACGACAGAAAACAAGACCACTGTCAAATGGAGAAAAGTTCAAATCAATGTTCCTTCACTCTAAAAAGTCGTTTAACTACCGAGACCAACATCCTTTACAATACACAAAGTCCATATTTAATCAATCTTCTTTCTTTTTCACTGCAAAACTTCTTTTTCTTCCTCCTTTTTTTCTATATTCTCGCTTACTTCCTTTTCACCGTTTTCCTTTCTTACAATCTCATCTTCGTTACTCCTGTCATCTTCCGAATCCTCTTCCAAATTGATACCAATTACCGCCGCAGCGAGCTTAGTAAACCACCCGACAGACTCACCTTCGTTCTGAACAGGTGAAGGAACACGCACGGGAACGCCCGGTTTCCCAAGGTTTAAAGACTTTGTTTGCGTGCTTGATGGATTTGTCCCGGTGGGCTTGCCTGAAGATTGCGGTCTATGATTCGCTTGTACGGGCTGTGGAGCAGTGCCCGGTGACTGAGTAATTGTGAAGAGAATATTGGTGGGTCAGAATGTCTAATTTAGTCGGATAATGAACAAGAATCAAACGCAGAATTACCATTGCAACTTTGAATTCGCTGATTACTCCTGCGGTTTCACTGAGACAAGCCATTTTCTGAAATTCTTCAAATTTAGAAACCGCTTGTTTTTGTAGAGATTGTAGTTTCTTGACTAGAATTTATGTAAAAACGATAATCTTTTTTAGTTCGTCATGGGGAAAGAAAAATAGGTTTAACAATCAAAATTAAAAGTACCTTGTCCTCTATGCTTGAGCGTATAAAACGAATAAATAATTTTTCTTCCTAACCAAATACTGCAAGCAAAGTCAATGAATGATTCTGAAGAAAAAACCCAGGAATTTGTCATCCCAACCGAGTCACTTACACAAACAAGATGCCGCCAACTTTAACCGTTGTAAGAATCATGCTCTCGTCTTCCTCCCGCCACATCATAAAATACGATCCAAATAACGATACACTTGAGAAGATTACCCACTCCCAACATCGTCTATTTCTTGTTTTTACGGTTTGAGCAATTCTATTACTGTAATCTTTTATCTCACTGCCTGTCTTCTTCAGTAATTGTTTTGCCTCTGAAGTTGCTCTGATTATATAGTCTGCAGGAGTTACCTGCTCGGAATGATAACGATATATAAGTACCTCTGACATTAAAGATTATAATTCCACACAAGGAATTTACACTTACAGAGCCGGCTAGACATAGTTTAAAAACAAGTACAGCTTGTAAAGCCAACGCAATGAAGACGTTTATGTCACCTCCCTCTTCGCTCCAAGGGTTAATTGCATCTCTCTGGAGATATAGACTTATTCCAATTATTCCAATTCCACTCAGATAAATAAATATTATTCCTCTTGTAAGCTTCCGCGGAGATTCGACAGTTGCGATTTCCGCTTTCTGAGCCTGCGGTACGGGAGTTGCCACCGCTTCTTTTGTCTTTTCGTTTTTCATAGCTTTATAGACGAAAGCTACTTGGGAGTAGTGAATACATGTTATATAAAAATATCTCTTAATTAAGTGATACAAATGATCGAGCCAAATCAGCAGTAATATTTTCTTTGTTAGAATGGGCGGCAAAGCATGCATGGTTCATGTGAGACATGGCAGCTCGGATAATGAATGACAGACCAATCAGCTATGATGATTTCGACGCAGAAATTATAAATTTCTCGTTCGTTAATGGACAATCTTTGTTCGGAATAACAATATGTTTCGTTATGCTCTTTTTTGCAGATAATCGATTGTGACAGCACTCATCTTACTTGGAGTTTTGCGTTCCTTGATCAAAAAAGGCAGCATGCACATGCAAACACAGGCGTTGCGCCTAACAGTCTTTTTTGACTTGTGTGACGCGGGAAAATCTCCAAGCGCGTAAAAAAGCAATATGCTTTCGGAGTGTATCGATTACGATTACGTGTACTTGCTTATTTCAATGAACCCAACTGGGAATTATACCAATTTGTAGTTAGAAGTTTATTCTCTCTAAAAATATATCTGGCAAGGCCAAATTCGCTTGGTCACAATGAACCATTTTATAAGTAATATGCTTGTGTCAATTGTATAACCATAACACTCACAGCAGGTTAGCGTGTAAATGCTGCTAATCTCCAATTTCCAATACTATATTGTAGATTATGAGTTTTCGATACTATATCTGTATCTCACCCAACTCTGAATTTACGTTGGGTACAGTGTATTTTTGACATTGTCACATCAAATTGCAAGTAAAATATTCTAAAAATTGGATATCTGTGTTTGTATATTGAACATGTCATATAAATCCGATTACTCCAGAAGAGCATTCCTTCGCTAGTGCATGAGAGTGCGTTGTTTATACTCTGATTTTGGATTAGAACGACCTGTGAGAAAAAACGCTCTTTTATTCCACGGTTAACGTAAAAAATCGTGCCTGAATGGGTACAATAAATCGTGTTCACTGTCAAATTTAGCCAGTTCCAAGTGCAAGTAAATTTAATTATAACATGTCAATTTATTTGACTATTTTATATTAATATTAATACAATATTACAATATTATGATACAATACGTTTATACTGATATTTGTAAATTAATAAGAATTTTGTATAAGACTTCTCCTTTTTCTTTCGCTCATTATAATTCTTGTAATTGTTATTATTATTATTACCATTGTACTATTAAATAAGATAATGGGCAGATAAAACTATTGCTCTCAATCGGCATGCCAAGTAGCAAACTCACCTCTAGCTTCAGGGACAGATCCTTTACAAGCAGCTAAGTAATCACCAAATCAGTCCCTCAAACTCTTCCACGTCCACCAATGTCCCATTGCAGCAAACCGACAAGTGAAGAAAAAAAGGGAGAAGAAAGAAAAGAAATAGAGTTAGTGTATATCGTGAAGCAATGGAATACTTACCTTAATACTTACCAAAACTGTAACCTAAAGCTGTGTCATAAAAAAAAGGAAAAAGAAAGGAGATATCTGAGAGTGTTCCGGGCATCCCCCGTGACCCACTCATCAGACCCATGCCAGGTTCCCTTCACCGCAAGCGAGCATTGGGAACAATGGAGAGTAAGAGGGGCGTCACCGGTAACTACCCACCGCCCGATCCAGCTCCGCACCTATCCATCAACAGAGACGAAGCATAATAGCTACCTAATAGACCGATTAAAGAGCAATAGTCAGTTGGCACACCCATTTTCTTCTTTACCTATTTACTATCTCTTTTTCTATTCCGTTTCTCAGTCCTCCCAGTAATAGACTTGGTGTTGGCGAATATTACAAGTAGAATTAACGTGCCGATAAAGCAAAAGCGGTCCGAGTATAGAGCGAGATTATGTGTCGGGAAACTTTTCAAAGTCGAGGAAGTGACTCGTATGTAACTTCTGAATAGTATAGTAGATATACAACAATTTGTCGAGTTATTTCATGACGAGATTATTTATTTTACTGAAGACAAGAAGACACCTCTTTGTTGATTGAAAAGACGTCGAAATCTGAAATTAATAAACTTACGTGTACAATAGCGACTTTTCCCGAACTTCCTTATCACATCATTAATCTACTCGGTGTGGTAACACGTTAATAATGGACGTTAGTGTGGAGGAGCGGAATGTTCGTTCCTGTACGAACCATTTTGTCGATTATATGGTCAATAACCGTGCCGTTAAGAGTTTGTTGTAGCAAACTGTGGCAAGTGCGTAATATGGAGTGGTGGCAAGGACTGTTCGTTGTATATTTAACTTTTAAATAACATTGTATTTGCGCATTGAAGGAGGAGAGGTTGTTGTGAAGCGATACATGCACAATGATCTGTGTTCGAACTCTTTCATCGGTTATGGTCGATAACCGTGGCGTGTCATTTTTAGAAGACTTGTTCGCGAACTGTCGTATGTGCGTAATATGAAATGGCGTAAAGGATTGTTTGCTGATTTACACTTTGGAGGAAGAGATGTTGTTGTGAAGCAACACATGCGCAATAGAAAGAAGCGTCTGGGTGTATATGTATGAGTAGCCGTGTTTTGAACTCTTTCATCAGTTCATAAACCGTGGAGTCGTCGAGTGTTAAGAGTTTGTTGTTTGATGGCTTGTTCGTGCCGTATGTGCGTAATGACAGTGGATTGTTTGTTTTATATTTGACATTGTATTTGTGCTTTGGAGGAGGAGAGGTTGCTGTGAAGCGATACGTACCCAATGATCTGGGTATATATATGTATGAGTAGACGCGTGTTCGCGTGTTAGATGACGAAGTGATACTACTTGATGCTGTCGTACGCATCCTTGTAAATATAAATGTTGTTGTTATTTATGCAGTAAGGAGTGTGAGAGTCAGCCACAACGATTACTGTCAACCAATAGTAAAGCATAAACGTGGGCATAATATCGCGACTGTCGTTAATGTAAGACTTTATTGTCCAACTACAGATAAACTGCTAAAGCTGGTTTTAACATATACATAAGTATAGAGGTACAATAAAGAATTTGCCCATATGGGCTCGCGACTGTCATAATTGTTTCCGTAAACAAAAACAATAGTATCAGTGTATCAGTGTAACAATTGAATGATAATGTCAGCAGACGATTCTATTGTTATGTGGCTGTCCATCCACCTACGTCATCTTATACGTTTACCCCTGCTTTTTCCCTTTTTGGTTCCATCGCATTTCAATAACACGTCTTTCTTTTTCGCGACGGACTTTTTTAACGGTTTCCGCTTTTCTAGTTTAGATTTATTTTTAAACCTCTACCTCCCTGCACGCACGAAAAATGAATATCATAGTTGACTTGTCCTCAAGCATTTGGTCATATTACGAGAAGCTTTACGAAAGCGGCAAATATGCGGATATTTCAATTTATGTTGGAAAGGAGCCAAACAACAAAATATTTCTCGCTCATACACAGGTATTATGTACACGCAACCCATTCTTTGAGAATAGCTTAACCGGAAATATAGAGACGGCTAAAGAGCTTCAAAAGGCCGCTATAACATTGGAAGATGTATCACCAGATGTTTTCGAAATTCTGCTTAGGTAATATGTTAAACCGTATGAATAACATATCAAAATATTATGCTTATTATATCAATACTAATATATAAAATTGCTTCTGTAGGTTTATTTATACCGGGCAAATTTTCTATGATTCATGCAAACGTGCAGGTTGGATTAATCTTCTAGATGGAGCTAGCAAATTCGAACTACTTGATCTTCTTATTGCAGTTGAAGCCTATTTGCTTGAGAATCAAAAGGAATGGATTCAACAGAATATTATCGCAATTCATAAGTATGCTCTCTCTATGGCTCCTTTGAACGGGCTTCTTCGTTATTGCAATCGAATTATGGTTTCACACCCAGATATTGTATTTAAATCAAACGATTTATCAAAGGAGACCTTGATCAATCTTCTCAAGAGTGATGACCTCAGCATGGAAGAAGATGATATTTGGATGTCAGTTGTGCAATGGGCTACTAAACAAGTGCCTGAATTAGAACTTGGAAATGATCTAGATTATTGGTCATCCCATGACATCAACACAGTGAAGGATATTATATCAGATTGTATACCTCACATAAGATTCTTTAATATGTCACTTAAAAAGATTCTTCTATTTGATGATTTATTGCCGAGAAAATTGCAACGTGATTTACTTAATTATCACGTAAAAGAAGATTATATCCCAAACACTACAATTCTATTACCGAGAACAGGACAAAGATATAATATCGATCCAGTTATCATTAACAACAAAAAAGGGCAATTAAATCTTGGTCTTTGCTATGAAAATGGAATTGTGGTAGAAAAGGATGTTAAAAGGGCTGTTAAATTATATAAACAAGCAGTTGAACAAGGAAATACTAATGCTGCTGTACAATATAAACTTGGTTATTGCTATCAATGTGGAATTGGGGTAGAGAAAGATGCTGGAAAGGCAGTTGAATTATACCAACAAGCAGTTGAACAAGGGAATACTAATGCACAGAATAAACTTGGCTATTGCTATCGACATGGAATTGGAGTAGAGAAAGATGCTAAGAAAGCATTTGAACTGTATCAAAAAGCAGCTGAACAAGGAGATTCTGGTGCACAGAATAACCTTGGTAATTGCTATCGACATGGAATTGGTATAGAAAAGGATGCTAGAAAGGCAGTTGAGCTGTATCAAAAAGCAGCTGAACAAGGAGATGCTGGTGCACAGAATAGCCTTGGTGAATGCTATTATTATGGAACTGAAGTAGAAAAAAATGCTAAGAAGGCATTTGAATCATATCTAAAAGCAGTTGAACAAGGCTGTGATTATGCACAGTATAATCTTGCACATTGCTATCAGTATGGACATGGAACAGAGAAAGGTGTTAAAAAGGCTGTTGAATTGTATCAAAAAGCAGCTGAACAAGGAGATGATGATGCACAGTATTGCCTTGGAAATTGCTATCAAAATGGAATTGGAGTAGAGAAAGACATTGAGAAGGCA